TAAGGTGTCATTTCTCTCTCATGGCTTTCCATGTACATATTTTTAATCTTTAGTTTTCAAAAGCTTAACAATACGTCTTGGTGTGGATTTCTTTGGTTTTATCCTGTTTGTGGTTTGTTCTGCTTCTAAAGTCTGTAAATTTATTTTTATTTATTTATTATTATTTTTTAAGATTTCATTTTTAAGTAATTTCTACAACCAACATGGGGCTCGAACTCACAACCCCGAGATCAAGGGTTGCATGCTCTTCTGACTGAGCCAGCCAGGTGCCCCTGTAAATTTATGTTTTGCCAAATTGGGACATTTTTAGCCATTATTTCTTCATGTACTTTTTTTCCCCCTTTTTTAAAAAAAATTAAAGTTAGTTAACATATAGTGTATTATTAGGTTCAGGGTAAAATTAAGTAATTAATCAGTTCTGTATAATACCCAGTGCTCATTTCATCACTTGCCCTCCTTAATGCCTACTACCTAATTACCCCATCCCCCTAACCCATCTCTTCTCCAGCAGCCCTCAGTTTGTTCCCTCTAGTTAAGAGTCTCTTATGATTTGTCTGTCTCTCTATTTTTATCTTCTTTTTCTTTTCCTTTCCTTATGTTCATCTGTTTTGTTTCTTAAATTCCACATATGAGTGAAATCATATGGTACTTGTCTTTCGCTGACTTATTTTGCTTAGCATAATACACTCTACCTCCATCCAGGTCATTGCAAATGGCAAGATTTCATTCTTTTTGATGCCTGAGTAATATTCTATTGTGTGTATGTGTATATGTATATATATACATATATATATATACCACATTTTCTTTATCCATTCATCCATCAATGGACATTTGGGCTCTTTCCATATTTTGGCAGTTGTGGACATTGCTGCTATAAACAATGGGGTGCATGTGCCCCTTCAAATCACTATTTTTGTATCCTTTGGAAAAATACCTGGTAGTGCAATTGCTGGGTCATAGGATAGTTCTGTTTTTAACTTTTTGGTGAACCTCCATACTGTTTTCCAGAGTGGCTGCACCAGCTTGCATTCCCACCAACAGTGTAAGAGGGTTCCCCTTTCTCTACATCCTGGCCAACGTCTGTTGTTTCCCGAGTAGTTAATTTAAGGCCTGTCTTACTTCTTTTCTTCCTGTTTTTTTGATGGCATGATATTGGTTCTTTTGTTGTAGATCCTTGAGGCACTCCCCCCCTGCCCCCAGGTCAGTTTTGTCTCTGCTGTTTGGATTGATTAATTTCTGTTCCCTCTGTTCTGTTTTTGGAGCCATCCCTTGAGTTTTTTAATTTTAGTTATTGCATTTTTCAGGTCTAAAATTTCCATTTGGGTCCTCCTTATGTCTTCTGTTTTTTTCCTGAGACAGGGTCACTGAAGCATTTTTGTGATGGCTGATTCAAAGTTTTTGCTGGATAATTTTGTCATCTCAGTCTTGATACCAGTTGACTTTTTTCATTCAGTTTGAGATTTTTCTGGTTTTTGATATGAGTGATTATCTATTGAAACCTAGACGTTTTTTGATACTATGTTAGGAGAATTTTGTTCTTATTTAAAGTGTTGTAGCTGGCTTCCTCTAATTTCAATACAGCTGGGGAAGAAAGGGTATCATCTCATTACTGCCATGTCAGGGAATAAGTCCAGGTTTTTCATTTGGCTTCCCTTGAGCTCAAGATGGAGAGCTTGTTACTTCTGGCCAGGGGTGGAATTCTAACTTTCCATTGTGTCTTCCCTGATACCTTCCTGGGTGGGGGAGTGTTCACCTCCTTAGCAGTGGTGAGAGTCCTGACTCTCCAGTAGACCTTCTCCGATACTACTCCAGCAGGATGGAGGAAGGATGCCTCATTACTGCTGAAGTCTAGCCTCCCCATGGTTTCTCCCCTGACAGCCCTGAGTGAGGAGGCTCATTACTGTTCAAGAGAGATGAGCCTTAGCTCCCTACTTTGTCTTTTTTGATACCACCCCAGTGTTGTAGGGGATATAGCACTTTGTTAGAGCCAGACAGAAGTAGAGGTATATGCTCCCCACTTGGCTTTTGCTGATGGGATGGAGTTGAGACCCACAGGTTTTTTTTTGTTTGTTTGTTTTGTTTTGTTTTTTCATGATACTTGGCTGGAATAAGGTGGTTATCATTTTTAAGTTTTCTTGCTAGGTTGTCCCTTTTCTGGTCCTTTGACCAGTTAAAGCAGACTTTCTTAGAGCTGTTTTTGTCTGTACCCATTGGCATTTTTGGTTTGCTAGCTTCTCCAGCACCTAGTCCTGGATATATGAGGTAAAGAGAAAACTCAAGGGAATCACTGCTATGTATGTTTTTAAGTCCCCTGCTGATCTGCCTTATCTCCAAGTGGCACAGTCTTCTCTTCTTCATTTTACTTTATTTTTTAAATTAAATTTATTTTATTGTGACCCAGATATGGAGCATCACAGGTAGGAAAGAATATTGTTTTTGACTACTAAAATATATTTTATTTATTTAACTTTTTGACTATAGTTGCATACAATGTTTTTTTTTTTTTTTTAATTTTTTTTTAAAGATTTTATTTATTTATTTGACAGAGAGAGACACAGCGAGAGAAGGAACACAAGCAGGGGGAGTGGGAGAGGGAGAAGCAGGCTTCCCGCCGAGCAGGGAGCCCGATGCGGGGCTCGATCCCAGGACCCTGGGATCACGACCTGAGCCGAAGGCAGACGCTTAACGACTGAGCCACCCAGGCGCCCCATAGTTGCATACAATGTTACATAAGTTTTAGGTGTACAACATAGTAGTTTGACAAGCTTATACATTGTTATGTTCACCACAAGTGTAGCACCCATTATGCTGTGCCTTTTACTCCCATGACTTACTCATTTCATAACTGGAGGCCTGTATCTCCCACTCCCCTTCACCCATTTTACCCATCCCCTGCCCCCTCCCCTTGGCAACCATCAGTTTGTTTTCTGTATGTATAAGTGAGATTCTGCTCTTTTTTTTTTATTCACTTGTTTTTGTTTGTTTTTTTAGATTCCACATATGAGTGAAATCATATGTTATTTGTCTTTCTCAATCTGACTTATTTCACTTAGCCTAATACCTTCTAGGTCCATCCATGTCACAAATGGCACAATATCATCCTTTTTATGACTGTGTAATATTTCATTATGTATATGCCGCATCTTCTTTATCCATTCGTCTATCAGTGATCACTTGGGTTACTTCCATATCTTGGCTAGTGTAAATAATGCTGCAGTAAACATAAGGGTGCATGTATCTTTTCAAATTAGTGTTTTCATTTTCTTTGGGTAAATACCCAGTAGTGGAATTACTGGATCTCCTATGGCATTTCTATTTCAAAAAATTTTTCTCTAATTAGGCTCCATGCTCAATGTGGGGGTTGAACTCATGACCCTGAGGTCAGGAGTTACGTGCTTGGGGGGGCCTGGGTGGCTCAGTCGGTTAAGCGTCTTCCTTCAGCTCAGGCCCTGGGGTTCTGGGATCAAGTCCCTCATTGGGCTCCCTGCTCAGTGGGGAGCCTGCTTCTCCCTCTCCTGCTCCCCCTGCTTGTGCTCTCTCTCTCTCTGTCAAATAAATAAATAAAAAATCTTAAAAAAATACAGAGCTCATTTTCATTTCAGATTAAAATTACAGAACTTTTACTTCTTCGACATTTATTTATGTATCTGTTTTGGTGGAGGGGTCATAATGACTTTTTTTTTTTTTAAAGATTTTATTTATTTAATTGACAGAGAGAGAGAGACAGCGAGAGAGGGAACACAAGCAGGGGGAGTGGGAGAGGGAGAAGCAGGCTTCCCGCCAAGCAGGGAGCCTGATGCGGGGCTCGATCCCAGGACCCTGAGATCATGACCTGAGCTGAAGGCAGTCGCTTAACCAACTGAGCCACCCAGGCGCCCCGGGGTCATAATTACATTAACATAATTTATTGGTTTATCCTATAATACAGACAATGATGGGAGGATAAAGGAAAACTAATAAGAAAGGTTGCCTTTTCTAAAAAAAAAAAAGAAAGAAAGAAAGAAACTTTGGGAGTGTTACATAAATATTTTCCCGCGTCCAGAGATAATTTTGTACATAATTTTAATGGTTACATAGCATTTCATCCTTTGAGTGTTTGCAGTGGCAGTAGGTTTTCATTAAAATTGACCCTTTGGTGGTGAAATTCTCAATTTATGGCTTTATGCACGTCCATGATTATTTGTTAAAGACATTTTTCTAGAAATTGAATTTTTGTGTCATAGGAGAAGGATCACTAAGTTGTAAGGAATTCATTGGATGTCAGTGAAATGTCTTCCTCTTGATACTCTACATGCTCATACTATTTGGAGGCTGATGATTTTGGGTCATTCATGGCAACTTTTTCCTTATTAGCTCTCCACCCCACCCCAACTCTTCCTTCTCAGATCTTCCAAAGAAGAGTTAGAAATGACCACATCCTCAGTCAGTTTTTATTTGTTCATTTATTTACTTGTTGCTTTTGTTTTCCTGTGGTTTTTTTTAAAGTTTATTTTTTTATTAAGATTTTATTTATTTATTTGAGAGAGAGAATGAGATAGAGAGCATGAGAGGGGGGAGGGTCAGAGGGAGAAGCAGACTCCCCGCTGAGCAGGAAGCCCGATGCGGGACTCGATCCCAGGACTCCAGGATCATGACCTGAGCCGAAGGCAGTCGCTTAACCAACTGAGCCACCCAGGCGCCCCTTTTCCTGTGGTTTTTAAGAAGCTTCTAAGTATAAGTAGATAAGTATTAGGATAAAAAAGGGAGTAAAAAGAAGAAAATACCAACATAAGTTTTAGAATGTAGGCATGCTGGTAGACTGTACTACACAGCTAGATAGTTTGAAGTCCAGATTGATCTCTGATATTTTGGGAAGACATAACAGAGTAAGAAGTGCAATGAGACACATGAATTACAATATCTCCATAAAGAAATCAATAACTCCTCTATAGTAAAGATTTCCTGATACTTGAGGGTCAAGATATCTTTTGATAGATCTTCATATGGATGATGGAAACGATACCTTCAATTACAACCTTGTCATAAATGCTACCACAGTTCTTCTGTAGCTGTTCTTCTTTTTGAAAAAAGTTTTCATTCAGTGTTTATGATTAAAAACTACAAGATTTTGCTTGTAGTTGTTGAGTGATAAGAGAAAGGCTAAAACATAGATTATCCTCTGATCGGTTAATTAAAATGCATCTGATCCAGAGTCAGGTTACTCAGCAATATACCAGTTACTTTTTTTTTTTTTTAGAAGATTTTATTTATTTGACAGAGAGAGACACAGCAAGAGAGGGAACACAGACAGGGGGAGTGAGAGATGGAGAAGCAGGCTTCCTGTGGGGCGGGGAGCCTGACACGGGGCTCAATCCCAGGATCGTGACCCAAGCTGAAGGCAGACACCCAACGACTGAGCCACCCAAGCACCCCAATATACCAGTTACTTTGTGTGGGCTTAAGAGTTTTAGAAGAAAATACTTCTAAGCAAAACATGCCATCTAACAGCATACTGATACTGGGTATATGAAATACTACATAAGAAAGCTGATGGGGGGCACCTGAGTGGCTCAGTTGGTTAAGCATCTGCCTTCAGCTCAGGTCATGATCTCAGGGTCCTGGGATCGAGCCCCGCATTGGACTCCCTGCTCAGCAGGGAGCCTGCTTCTTCCTTTCCCTCTGCAGCTCCCCTTGCTTGTGCTCTCTCACACACTCTTTCTCTCAAATAAATAAATAAAATGAAATGGGAAAAAAAAAAAAAGAAAGCTGATGGAAGGGGTGGCTCCTGGGTGGCTCAGTCGGTTAAGTGGCTGCCTTCGGCTCAGGTCATGATCTCAGGGTCCTAGGATAGGGCCCCTTGTCGAACTCCCTGCTCAGTGGGGAGTCTGCTTCTCCCTTTCCCTCTGCCTCTCCTCCCGGCTTGTGCGCTCTTTCTCTCTCTCTCTCTGTCTTGCTCATTCACTCTCTCTTTCTCAAATAAATAGATAATCAAATCTTAAAAAAAAAGAAAGCTGATGGAAGTTACTTGTGCCAGACCTTTAGACTCTTTAGACTTCTGACAGTTTGTTACCATAGGCAGGGACTTCCCAACCAGTTAGTTATTTATCTTTTGACTTTTCCAAGTTAGAACGTTCCCTCACCCCAGGCGAACATATAGATTATAGGTTATAGATTCTTTTTTTAAATTAAAGCATAATTAACATACAGTGTTATATTATTTTCAGGTGTACAACATACTGATTCAGCAATTCTATATAGTACTCAGTGTTCACCACATAAGTGTAGTCACTACCTGTCACCATATGTTCTTACAGTATTATTAACTATATTCCCTATGCCGTACTTTCCTTTTTTTTTTTTAAAGATTTATTTATCTGAGAGAGAGTGAGTGTGCGTGCGAACAGGGGGAGGGGCAGAGGGAGAGGGACAGAAAGAATGTCAAGCAGACTCCCAGCTGAGTGCAGAGCCCGACACAGGGCTCTATCTCATGACCCTGAGATCATGACCTGAGCTGAAATCAAGAGTTGGACACTTAACCGACTGAGCCACCCAGGTGCCCCCCTATGCTATACTTCTCATTTGTGTGACTTACTTATTTTATAACTGGAAGTTTCTACCTCTTAACCCCCTTTATCTGTTTTGCTCATTCCCCCATCCACCTACACTCTGGCAACCACCAGTTTGTTCTCTGTGTTTATGAGTCTGTTTGTTTTGTTTTTTAGATTCCATGTGTAAGTGAAATCATATGGCACTTGTCTTTCTCTGTCTGACTTATTTCACTTAGCATAATACCTTCTAGGTCCATCTGTGTTGTCATAGATGGAAATATCTCATTTTTTTCTTACGGCCAAGCAATATTCCATTGTGTATATATATCTTCTTTATCCATTCGTCTGTGGATGGACACTTGGGTTGCTTCCATATATCTTGGCTAGTGTAAATAATGCAGCGATAAACATAAGTGTGCAGATATCTTTTCAAATTAGTGTTTTCATTTTCTTTGGGTAAATACCCAATAGTGGAATTACTAGATCATATGGTATTTCTATTTCTAATTTTTTATTTTATTTTTTTAAAAGGTTTTATTTATTTATCTGACAGAGAGAGACACAGTGAGAGAGGGAACACAAGCAGGGGGAGTGGGAGAGGGAGAAGCAGGCTTCCCGTGGGGCAGGGAGCCTGATGCGGGGCTCCATCCCAGGACCCTGGGATCATGACCTGAGCCGAAGGCAGGCGCTTAATGACTGAGCCACCCAGGCGCCCCTATTTCTAATTAAAGTATCTCCATACTGTTTTCCACAGTATGTGGTTGTACCAATTTACATTCCCATTAACGGTGCACTAGGCTTTCTTTTTCCGTATCCTTGCGAACACTTGTTATTTCTTTTCTTTTTGATACTAGTCATTCTGATTGTTATGAGGTGATATCTCAGTGTGGTTTTGATTTGCATTTCCCTGATGATGAGTGATGTTGAGCATCTTTTCATGTGTCTGTTGGCTATTTGTTTTCTTTGGAAAAATGTCTATTTAGGTTCTCTGCCCATTTTTTATTTTTATTTTTTTAAAGATTTATTTGAGGGGCGCCTGGGTGGCTCAGTTGGTTAGGCGACTGCCTTCGGCTCAGGTCATGATCCTGGAGTCCTGGGATCAAGTCCCGCATTGGGCTCCCTGCTCAGCGGGGAGTCTGCTTCTCCCTCGGACCCTCCCCCCTCTCATGCTCTCTCTATCTCATTCTCTCTCTCAAATAAATAAATAAAATCTTTATTAAAAAAAAGATTTATTTGAGAGAGAGAGAGAGCACAAGAAGGAGGGGCAGAGGGAGAAGCAGGCTCCCTGCTGAGCAAGGAGCCTGATTGGGGCCTCGATCCCAGGACCCTGGGATCATGACCTGAGCCGAAGGCAGTTGCTTTAACCAACTGAGCCACCCAGGTGCCCCATAACGTCCATATTTCTTCCAACAGTCTCTTCAGGGCAGTCTGGGTTTTTTCTGTCACTTGCCTCCAAAATTCTTCTAGCTGCTACACATTAGCCCAAGCCAAAGCCACTTGCACATTTTAGGTATTTATTACAGCAGTACCCGACTTCCCAGTAAGAAAAATTTGTGTTAGTTTCCTTGTTCTGCCATAACTAATGACCATAAACTTGGTGGCTTAAACAACAAAAATTGCTTCTCGCAGTTCTGGAGGCCAGAGGTCTGAAATCAAGGTGTTGGCAGAGCCATGCTCCCTCTGAAGGCTGTAAGGGAGGACCCTTCCTTGCTTCTTCCACCTTCTTCTGGGTATAGGCATTCCTTGGTTTGTGGCTATATCACTATAATCTCTGCTTCCGTCTTTACATGACCCTCTCCTTTGTGTCTGCTTTCTCCTTCTCTGTGTCTTATAAGGATTGAAGGCCCAGCTGGGTACTCTGTATCAGTCAGAGTTTTACCCAAGAAATAGAGCCAGTAGGGATCTATATGTGCATGTACTTTATGAGATTTATTGCAAGGAATTGGATTAAGTGATTGTGTGAGTTGGCTAGACAAGTCCAAAATCCAGAGTAGACCAGCAGGAAACTGGCAGGAGCTGACATTGCCATCTACAGGTAGAATTTCTTCCTCAGGGAAACCACTTTTGCTCTTAAGGCCTTTCAACTGATTGGATAAAACCCACTCCAGATTATCAAGGATTAGTGTTTGATTGAGTAACTGGGGATGATAGCTAGCCCACTTGACACATAAAACTGACTATCACAGTCCACCCTTTGTCAACTTGGCACCCCCACTCATCACCTTAAATCATACTCAATCCCCAAATAAAGAGAGTAACAGGGTCGTCCTTCTGCCCAACGTGATACAACTATCGTGTATAATTGAAAACAGGCTAATAATTTCCTCAGAAGATGCAAAGTCATTGAGTGTAACTTAAATACTCTGATGTAAAGCTAGCCATTATTAATAGATTTTATGTTGGATGATAAGAGGATAAGAGAGGACACAAAGCAAAAATGATTATCTTACACACACATTTATAACAAAACGAGGAAGAAATACTCATAAAAATCACAGTCCTCAGGGCGCCTGCATGGCTCAGTCGGTTAAGCATCTGCCTTCGGTTCGGGTTGTGATCCCGGTGTCCCAGGATCGAGCCCCTGCATTGGGCTCCTTGCTCAGTGGGGAGTCTGCTTCTCCCTCTGCCCTTCACCCAGCTAGTGCTCTCTCTCTCACTCTCTCTCTCAAATAAAAATTTTTTAAAGATTTAATTTATTTATTTGACAGAGAGAGCACTGGTGTTTATAAATACATTCTACCACCCATTGCATATTCCCTTTGCACTCAGCAAGCACCTCAGTTGGTCATAGTTCTTTACTTAGTGCAGTGACCCACACCTTCATTCCTGCAGGGTCCAGTTATTAATAGTCTTGCCTGAATGGGGTTGTATAGTTTTCCATTGACTTTAACAGAGCATGATAGTATGCCTTAAGGGAACCCCCCCTTTTTTTAAAAGTCAGCTCCAAGCCCAGCATGGAGCCCAGCATGGGGCATGAACTCACAACTGTGAGATCAAGACCTGAGCTGAGATCAAGGGTGTGACACTTAACCAACTGAGCCACCACCCAGGTCCCCAAGGGGCCTTCTGTACTTCAGGCATATACTTCCTTACCTCCATTATGTAGCAGCATCCCAATTTCTTTTTGGTAGTCAGAATCAGTCACCCTAGCTGACACTGCAACTTCCTTCCTTGCCTGTTGTTGATTCAGAGGCATGAGGAGCCCAGAGCTGCCGGGTGGCAGTCTTAGGTTCCAGTGAAAGAGAATCACTGTTGTGTCTCCTGGTGGAAGCATCCATCCCTTTGTAACTAAGAGCTCTATACCAGCAGAGCATAAGGTTACATGGATGAGAAGGGACATTTTTGCTAGTTGATCATTATGGGTAATAGTGGGTGGTGCCATTCCCATTTCCACCTCTTGAGTTCTGGATCCATGACTCCTGTCTATGGGAGAACAGTGCCATATATTAGAATGCTGATTCAGAGGCTGTATAGCCTCCTGGAGGACATTGCCTCAGCTCTTTGAGGTATTACCACCTAGTTGACACTGCAACTGGGTCCTCAAAAGGCCATTCCACCCTTCTATCAGCCAGCTGCTTTGGGATGGTGGGGAACCTGGTAAGACAAGTGAATTCTGTGAGCACAGACCCATTGCTGCACTTTGTTTGCTGTGAAGTAAATTTCTTCCTCAGAAACAATGTGGTGTTGAGTACCACAATAGTGCATAAGGCATCATGTAAGTCTATAGATGGTAGTTTTGGCAGAAGCATGGTGTGCAGGAAAGGCAAATCCATATCCAGAGTAACTGTCTGTTCCAATAACAAGAATGTGCTCCCCTTTCCATGATAGAAGTGGTCCAGTGTAATCAACCTGCCACCAGGTAGCTGGCTGATAACCCCAGAGAATGGTGTGGTGCCATAACAGAGACTCAGTGTTGGTCTCTGTTGCTGGCACTTTGGGCATGCTGCTGTGGTTGTAGCCAGATCAGCCTTGGTGAGTGGAAGTCCATGTTGCTGGGTCCGTACATAACCTCCATCCCTGTCACCATGATCATTTTGCTCATGAGCCTACTGGGCTCCTGTCTATTAGTACAAGTTGCAGACAGTTCCAAAATTGTATTTGAGTGTGGATCATAATGGCTAAAGGCATCAAGAGAGCTACATCTTTCACAAAGATGGCACCGCAGGCGAGTAAGGAAGCCCCTGCCCCTTCCAAAGCTGAAGCCAAAGTGAAGGTTTTGAAGGCCAAGAAAGTAGTGCTGAAAGGCATCCAGTAACAAAAAAAAAAAAAAAAAAAAAGATCTGCCTGTCACCTACCTTCCGATGGCCCAAGACACTGCATCTCTGAAGGCGGCCTAAATATCCTCAGAAGAGCACCCCCAGGAGAAACAAGCTTGACCACTATGCCATCATCAAGTTCCCCCTGACCACCAAGTCAGCCATGAAGAAAACAGAAGACAACAACACACGTGTGTTCACTGTGGATATCAAGGCCAGTAAGCACCAGATCACACAGGCTGTGAAGAAGCTCTATGACATTTATGTGGCCAAGATCAACATTCTGATCAGGCCCAATGCAGAGAAGAAGGCATATGTTTGACTGGCTCCTGACTATGATGCTTTGGATGTTGCCAACAAAAACGGGATCATCTAAACTGAGTCCAGCTGGCTAAATCTAAATATAAGTTTTTTCACCATAAAAAAAAAAAGAGAGAGAGAGCTACTGCTTTTTGCAATTGAGACAGCTTACTTTTTTTCAGGATCTTATTCAAATATGACCATCTTTGGGTAATTTTATAGATAGGACCTAGCAATATCCACAGATGTGAAACATGCATCCTGCAAAAATCCAAGTAAACTGATCAGGTGCTGTGTTTTTTGCTTAGTACCAGTGGTAGGCAACAATAGTCTGTTTTTGTTTTTGTTTTTTAGATGTTCACTTACTTTAGTAATGCTACATTTACCGCGTTATCACCATGGAATGTAAATTTAGGTTAGACAAGAGAATTTCACAGGTGCAATAACGTATTCTGGAGTATACCAAAGTTTGTGTATAGTGTCTGACCAAACCAGCTTGCTCATAAGTTATTAATCATTTCCATTATAGATAATTTGTTAACATTTATGATTCTTACGGGAAAAATAAACATACTTCATACATTTAAAAAGTTTTTCATTTACCTTTGCATTAGCACTTAAAATATGTATTTCTTTTTTTTTATTATGTTCAGTTAGCCACTGTACATCATTAGTTT